ACCTTTGAAGAAAATATTACTTATCTAGTAAAAGAAGAATGAAACCAGGGCTGACACTGTGGTACAGGGGGTTAAAGCCCTGGCCCGCAGCACCAGCATCCCATATGGGTGCAGGTTCGAGTCCTGGCTGCTCTACTTCCGATCCAGCTCTCTGCTATTGCTTGGGAAAGCAGTAGAAGATGGCCCAAGTCCTTGGGCCCCTGCAGCCACGTGTGAGACCCAGAATAAGCTCCTAGGTCCTGGCTTTGAATTAGTTCAACTCTGGCCATTGCAACTATTTGTGGAGGAAACCAGTAGATGAAAGACCTCTCTCTCTCTCTCTCTCTCCCTCTCTCTCCACATCTCTCAGTAACTCTTTCAAATAAATAAAATAAATTAAAAAAAAAAGAAGAGTGAAACCAAAACCAAGATGAAACATCACTTCATACCTGTTTAGAATAGCTATTACCCAAAAGGCAGCAGATAAAAAGTGTTGGCAAACATGTGGAGAAAAAGGACTCTTTGTGTACTCTATTGGTGAGAATGCAAATTGGGGCCATCATTATGGAAAATTGTGGAAATTCATCCAAAAAAATTAAAAATAAAACTATCATGTGACCCAACAATATCATTTCTGATTTTATCAGTGGTCTTTTAAATGTTCATGAAACTGTACTATGAAAAAATTATGCATGGACTTCAAAATGTTTTGCACCAAAAATGTATCTTTTAATTCCCTTTCTTCACAAGATTTTTGTCTACTCAAAGGAAATAAATTCTGGATCTTGCAGAGACAGCTGCATCCCCATGTTCATTGTACCATTATAAAATAGTCAAGACAGGGAAACAACTTAAGTGGTTATTAGTAGAATGATGGAGAAAGAAAATCTGAAAATATATATACATATATATATATATACACATACATGGATATTATTCAACTTTAGAAACAAGGGAATGCTGCTTTTGTGACAACAGGGGTGAATTTGAAGGACATTTTGCTAAGCAAAATGAGCTACACACTGCATGCTTTCACTTCCATGTGGCGTCTAAATCTCATAGAAACAGAGAGTAATCGCATGGTTCGTGGTTGTCAGTGGTAGAGGAAGAGCAGGTTAGTAAGAAAGGAAGAGATAGTGGCCAAGGGCTACAGCGTTTCAGCAGTGCAAGATGAATGGGTTCCGGAGATCCAGTACACAGCGTGGGGACTGCGGCTAACAGTCTGTATTGTACACTTGAGATTTTCAAGGAAGGCTTTTCCAAAAGGGTAGATCTTAAACATTCTCACCACAAAAGAAAGGATGGGAGGAAGGAGGGAGGGTGGGAGAAGAGGAAAATAATAGTAACAATGTGAGGTGATAGATATATTAATTAGCTTGATTGCGGGGATTATTCCACAATGTTTGCATATATCAAAGCAGTAAGCCAGGGATCGGCGATCGTGTTGTGGTAACATGTTAAGCTGCTGCCTGTGATGCCGGCTTCCCGTATTATCGCGGACTGGAGACAAGATCAGGGTGCTCCTCTTCCATTCCAACTCCCTGCTAATGTGTCTGGGAAAGCAGAGGAAGATGGCCAAGTCCTTGCGCCCCTGCACCCACGTGGGGAACCTGGAAGAAGTTCAGGGCTCCTGGCTTCGGTCTGGCCCAGCCCCGGTTGTTGAGGTCATTTTTGGAGTGAATCAGAGGATGGAGGATGTCTCTGTCTTTCCCTTTCTCTGTAACTCTGCTTTTCAAATAAATGAAAATAAATCTTTTAAAAATCATTAATCTGTGTACCTTAAATGTACACTATTTATGTGTGTCAACTGTACCTCAATAATGCCGAAAACATTTTCTTTTTAAAATAAAAGGAATTGGTTTTCAGATGCTTTCCTCTTTACTAAGTAGTTTACATCTGTTTCCTGTTTCTCAGGTTCTTTGATGTAAACACTGAGTGGGCTAGTAGGAAAATTGAATCGCTGCGTGAGTCCAATTTTTTTTAAAAGATTTATTTATTTATTCGAAAGTCAGAGTTACAGAGAGAGGAGAGGCAGAGAGAGAGTGGTCTTCCATCCAATGGTTCACTCCCCAGATGGCCACAACAGCCCGAGCTGTGATGATCCAAAGCCAGGAGCCAGGAGCTTCTTCCAGGTCTCCCATGTGGGTGCAGGGGCCCAAGGCCTTGGGCCATCTTCTACTGCTTTTCCAGGCCACAGCAGAGAGCTGGACCAGAAGAGGAGCAGCCAGGACTAGAACCGGCGCCCATATGGAATGTCAGCGCTTCAGGCCAGGGCATTAACCTACTGAGCCACAGCACTGGCCCCAACAAGAGTCCAGTTGAAAAGTTTAATGTTGTCATTTGAGTTTAACGTTCGTGTTTAAGGAACATTCTGAACACCAGTCAGCTGTGCGAGTTTTATCATTTCACTCATGAAGCCACACTTCAAGTCCCTGTAACATGTAAGGTGAAGGCAGCCTGCAGTCTTAGCGTCCATTAGTTTCTGAGGCATTGTGATTCCACGGCCTGCTGGTGGGGAATATGTTCCTGAGCTCGCTGAACCCGGGAAAGGACCCTTTTTCCGGTCCCTTTCAGTTGTTTGGGGATCACAGAAATCACCTGTGGCTCACCCACTCATGGGCGCTGCCTTAGTCAGACTCTGGACAAAGCAGAGCCTCCAATTTATCTCCGTTTAATTGTTTCTGAGGATTGGTGTGCAGCAAGTCATTTACCTGGAATTATTTTGGTCAACAAAATTATAATATCATTCTACAATTCAACAACCCAGATTCAGCATGAAAATCGATGACAATGTGATGCAATGAACTTCCTTGGAACTTTCAGTGCTGTAGTTTGAGTGTATCATCCCCAAAATTCAAGGGTTGACTTATACTGGACTGTGTGATAGTGTTCTACACTACAAGGACCTCAAATAAAAGACTGCACGAAGCCTGTAGTTCGTTTGCCTTTCTGCCTTCTGCCATGTAGGACAGGGCGGTCCTCCCACAGCAATGAGGTACCATGCTGGAGGCAAAGAGCAGCCCTCCTCAGACAACCACACTTGCCCACAGCTTGATCTCAGACTTCCCAGCCTTAATTAATTCCTTCATTTTCTTTATAAATTATCCAGTCTCAGGCATTTTTTTTTCCTAATGGCACAGAGACATTGAATCTTGGTTATTTATTTTATTGGCTGTACTGCCCCAAATGTGTTAGCCTATCTATCCTCTGCTCTTTCATTTATAAAAAGAAGGCTCTAACTAGGCAATATCAGACTTTCTCCAATAACAATAATTATAAGAAAGGAGAGAATTAATCCAATATTATGATTATGAAGGAGGCTCCCAAGTCTGCCTAAATTAAAAATAAATAAAAAAATAAATAACAGCTTGTGTGACCCTGGGCACTTTCATTTTCTCAGCTGTAGAATGGAAGCGTGAGTTATATGGACATCAAAAGGCAGTTTCGAGAGTTAATTGAATAATATACATAAAGTGCAGGCCACAGCTCAAGAATGAATGTCGGCAGCAGGAGTGACAGTCGTGCCGGTGACCAGAACAAGCTCCTTAATTCAATTCTCACAGCCTGCAACCTTATAGGGAATGTCAGTACTTTATAGTAGAGGCAACTGAGATTCAAGATTAGTAATTTTTTTTTATTTGACAGGTAGAGCTACAGACCGTGAGAGAGACAGAGACAGAGAGAAAGGTCTTCCTTCTGTTGGTTCACCCCCTAAATGGCTGCAATGGCCAGCGCTGCGCCGATCCGAAGCCAGGAGCCAGGTGCTTATCCTGGTCTCCCATGCGGGTGCAGGGTCCAAGCACTTGGGACATCCTCCACTGCACTCCCGGACCACAGCAGAGAGCTGGACTGGAAGAGGGGCAACCAGGACTAGAACCTGGTGCTCAAATGGGATGCCAGCGCCACAGGCGGAGGATTAACCAAGTGAGCCAAGGCACCAGCCCCAAGATTAATAATTTTTGAAAGGTCATTGGCTATAGAGGAGCATTCAGATTTTGAAATGAGTTCTGTCTCAGTTTAACCATATTATATATATGGCATATATATAGCAATATTACATATAGTATATTATCAGCTTCTATTATTCTATGTCAATACTATTTTGATTAGAATGATGCTTAATGAGTTAGTTACTCCACAACCTTTTGCTCCCAAATCTTTTTTTTTATTTATTTATTTGACAGATAGAGTAAGACAGTGAGAGAGAGAGAGAGAGAGAGAGAGAAAGGTCTTCCTTCCGTTAGTTCACTCCCCAGATGGCCGCAATGGCTGGAGTTACGCCAATCCGAATCCAGGAGCCAGGTGCTTCCTCCTGGTCTCCCATGTGGGTGCAGGGCCCAAGCACTTGGGTCATCCTCCCCTGCCCTCCTGGACCACAGCAGAGAGCTGGACTAGAAGAGGAGCAACCTGGACTAGAACCTGGCACCCATATGGGATGCCGGCACCGCAGGTGGAGGATTAACCAAGTGAGCCACGGCGCCGGGCCCCCCAATCTCTTTATTCATATAGCTAGCAAAGCATTCATCCTGTCTTATTACTTTGATTATTTTTTTAAACTTGTCTCTGACCCACAGCAGACAGGGAATTTGAATACAAGGATCATGGTTTACAAGGTTAAGAGATGGGAACCCTGGCAAAAAGGAAAAAAAGAAGTTTAAGAAAACATAGAGTCTATAGCAAGAAAACAAGACAAAAACACTTTCATCAGGCTAGTTGGGCTTTATGGAATGAAGACAAAAACAGAGAAGGGAGATAGCATTTCATCAGCACAATCCAGTAAACAGGCATTGAAGGACTGGTACTCTTTAGGCTTGAGGGAGGAAGTGGGTTTTATTTTCAGGTACTTCCTTCTGAAACAACTGCTCTCAGCTAGGGTTTTTCTGGTTCTTGCAAGACACATAATTGAAATTAATCAAAATTTTTATATGCAGAGTACTTTTCAACCTATATTCCTGACTTTTAAATTTTGGCCAAACAGAGATTGTTCTGTTTCAAAGACATTCTAGGAGAAACTCACTTACAGTTGATGTTTCATATTAAAATGTATACCATCCATCATCCTAATAGATTATCCGTGTGATTTGTCCATCACTTTATGAGAACAAAATGCCATCTTGTCTCCTTGATACTGCGTCTTAAAAAAAAAAAGGAGCAAAGAGAAGAAAAAGAAACACCGCATTATTCCTTTTTTAGTTTTTTTTTTTTTTTTTTTACTTTGAAGTTTTTCATAGCACACAAGGTCTGGCATTGGGAGTAATTAGAGTAAACCATGCAGAAATCCCCACGGAAGCTGGCAGGTAGGATAATGTTTGCTGCATTAAAAACTTAAAAAGAGAGCACAGTGTTTTAGAGGACAAGTCGGTGACTAAATCCTACTGAGGAAGATTAAATGGGTGAATCTCTTTTACTCGTCTCCATCAAACTTGCCTGGCCGTATTCTCAGATGCAATCATAATTATGGGAAAATTTTGAGGGGGAATTTTTAGTAATTAACAAAGTTGCACCCATGACAGGAGCCAACAGCTTCTGAAGGTTACAACCAACACTGGTTGTACACTAGCTCCACCCCAGACCAAAGCTGAGCTGAACCCCCAGGCACCCGGAATGGGCCAGGCCTCTGCTCCTGACAATCCCCCTGGAGGCTGGAAGGTTCTGTCTACCATTTGAGGATGCCTGGCACACAGAGCCCTGTCATAAAGAAAATATTTTCTTCAAACAGAATTCTAATTGTCTTCGTTAATTTAGTTGGAATCAAATGTGTCACATGCATGACACTTCCATAATTCCTTCCTTATAGAGGAAAAATGATAAAAATTATGTAAAATTTAAAATACCATGAAAATAGGTTCCTGAATTTAGCAAACAAAAATGTCCCAAACATTGCATGGGACACAATTACAGTAAAAAAAATGATTCCTTGTTTACATCAAATTTAAATGTTACTGGCTATCATATGTCATCTGTCTACTCTATCCAAAAAGATGTTAAGTCACAACAAGTGGCCCCACATGTGAAGTGACACAGAGATAGAAACTACATTGGTCACCTAAAATAATATACTCTGAATGAATTCTAAAAATAGCTCCTTTGTTTAGAAAATAAAATGCTAAGTCAACCTTAATAATCTAACAGCCTCCGTTACAGACATTTTTATTACTTTCCTTAATGTACCTTTAATTCAGTGCAGTCAATGTTGTTGTTTGAAGAACGAGGTTTCTATTCAGGGAAAAGAGTCTGAAAGAAATCCGACTGCCTTTCAAAGTAAAAGTTGTGCTTCATTTTTCATCTAAACAAGCGGAGTGGCTCTTTCACAAAATTTCCAGTACTGAAATGGACACAGCTAGCAAGACCGTCAGGAAGCTGTACAGAGTAGGTGACTCTGATAAGCCTTTCTCCCCAACTGAGACATCTCTCCATGTTCTACACAGGCAGCAGGTGCGGCCACAATCTGAACAGATGTTTCCACCTGTGGAAGTTGGGGTTGGAGTGTACATTTGCTGCCCTTGCCTTTTCCTTTGTGTCACTCACGGTGGTGATGTGTGCGCTCAAGCTGTTCAACTCCTTGGCCTGACTTTATGCCTCGATTTGGTAGAGCTGTGGGCTGTGGTGTGCTATTTCTTTCTTGCATATTTTTAGATGATTGTGAATAACTTTTTTCTTTTCTTTCTTTCTTTCCTCCTTTTTTTTTTTTTTTTTTTTTTTTTGGTCTTGCTGTTTTAAGGCTTCTGATTCAGACTTTCTGGTCACTGTTTTAGTGCATGAATTTATAGCAGATACACAGAGAGAAGGGAGTGGGTGGGAGAAACAGAAGAAGCATTATTTTTGAAAGGGTAAAAAAACCTCAGCTAAAGGCAGATGACCTTGCCCTTGTTCTGCTTTGACACAGGAAGTTGAACTGCCCCAGGAAGTCATTAACAGAACTGTTTTGTCAGGTCTTATTGTTTAATTAGATCACAACTTAGATCCCAATTCTAAAATCCTTTTGGCACATGCCATAATTCTCATTCCTGAGCATCAAATACTTTCTAACAGCTGCCTACATAAAGCAAAAACCAAGTAAATTCAATATTTGAACCAATTATATATATGTGTGTGTGTATACTTAATAACAGACTCTTAGAGTAAAAACTTTCTAGTGGTCAATCACTCAAACCTTTTATGGAAGTAGTTGTACCCTGCAGCTCTCCAATGCTTAATTTAGCTATAAGGCTTACCTTGAATCCCCCAGGGGCTCTGCACCATATTTGGAGAACAGCAAGTCTTTGGTCTTTCCTGGTTTGAAGACGCTTCTTTGTGTTCATGCTTAGTACCTGACCCTTATCCATACACAAGTAGAATCAAAATTCTCAACTGCAAGCATTTGGCTCTAACAGCTCTGTTCCATCAGTACTGGGCTTTCTCAGGACAGACCACAAAAATGAATACACGCAAAAATACAAAAATTAGGAGCCAGAAAGAAAAAATGAATACATAATATCCATTTAACCAAGCTCAATGTGTTCTGTTAATGTTTTTCTTTGCATTTCTCTCTCCATTTCCTATGTCCATAGAGTTGTGGTTTAGTTTTTCCAAATGTCTTATTAGCTTTCAGTATTTTCCCAAAGTATGAAAGTATTACACAAATTGAATTAAGAGTTTGGAATAAGAATACTTTGGAAAGCTAACAGGGGATTTCAAAATGGTGGAATGGCAACAGGATTGTCCAAATCACACCAGGCAAAATTATTGTTTAATAAGGGTTGAAACTACATGCCTCAGACAAAGCCATGGAGAATTCACAGCAGAAAATCCAGCGAGAACAGTAGAGATTGTCCATGTCCATGCCAAAAGAGCAAATAAAAAAAAAAAAAAGAACAGGAGAGGGGGAATGGTGGAAGCTCCAACCTGGAGAGGAGAATGGAGGACCCAGCAGACCAGGTAAGAAGGGGAGGGGAATTCACGGATTTTCAGAGCTGTAGACTCACACCAGGGCATCCTGCAGCTACGATGAGAAGGGCTGGTCACACCAACAGAGGTAAACACTCTCCTCTACAGACATCCAGAGGAGAGCTACAAAGCTCCACAGGGGCCTTACTTTGGATACCTGCTCTATTCTGGAATACTGAAAAAAGCAACCAGGCCACACCCACCACATGACTCCTGGTACTCATTGAATATAGACATCCCACTAAGCCACACAAATGCCCAAAATCAAAGGAAAAAACTTAAATAAGGATAAGAAAGATACTATGAGTCCCCTAACGTAACCCTGCAACACTTCAATAGCAGAAGATGAAGATGAAGAGATTGAATATATCCCAGGAACAGAATTCAGAAAATTAATCATCAGACTACTTAGAAGCAACCAAAAGCAAATTCACAAACTAAATGGAATTTTTTCCGACAAAACTGAGATATTAAAGAGAAATCAGAATGAAATACTAGAAATGAAGAACTCTATAGTTCAAATAAAAATGCAGTGGAAAGTCTTAGCCACAGAGTAGATGAGACAGAAGAAAGAATATCAGAACTAGAAGACAATTTCAGGAAATTTTACAGTCAGACCTCCTCACCCCCAAAAAAGAAGAAGTTAGAAAACTAAAAGCCACTGTTGGAGATCCATAAGATGCTATCAAATGATTCAACATACAGGTGCTGGGAATTCCTGAAGGTGTAGAAATAGAGAAAAGATTAGAAGGTCTTCTTAATGAAAGAATAACAGAAAACTTCCCCAATTTGGAGAAAGAAAAGGATATCCAAGTACAGGAAGCACATAGAACTCCCAATAGACATGATCAGAAAAGATCTTCAACATGACACATTGTAGTCAAACTCTCCACAGTAAAACATAAAGAAAAGATTCTAAAATGTACATGAGAGAAATGCCAGATCACATTCAGAATGTGAATACTATATCTGCAAAGCTCTCATTTATAAACAAAAGTGAAATAAAGATCTTCAATAACAAACAGAAATTGAAAGAATGTGTAACCACCCATGCAGCCCTACAAAAAATGCTCAAGTATGTGCTACACACATAAACATGGTCATCACAATGAAAAGAGGTGAAGCCAGAAAATTACCCCATAAAAATACAAAGGTAACCCAAAGTAAAAAAAAAAAATAGGACTATTAAGGGAAATATGGAAGGGCAAAGTCATTACTGAAAAATAGTCACCCTGAAAGTAAATGGTCTGAACTCTCCAGTTAAAAGACACAGATTTGCTGAGTGGATTAAAAAAAGAAAGTCCATTTATTTGCTGCCTAAAAGAAACACACATCACCAACAAAGCTGCACAAGGACTGAAAGTGAAAGGAGGGAAAAGATAATCCATGTTAACAGAAACCAAAAAAGAGCTGGTGTAGCCATCCTAATATTGGGCAAAATAGACTTTAACACAAAAACTATTCCAAGAGATAAAGAAGAGCACTATATAATGATTAATGGAGCAATTCAACAGGAAAAAGTTACTATTATAAATGTATATACATCTAATTACAGGTACCTGGCTATTTGAAAGAATAGTTAATAAGGTCTAGCACTGTGGCACAGTAGGTTAATGCCCTGGCCTGAAGTGCCAGCATTCCTTATGGGCACTGGTTCGAGACCCAGCTGCTCCATTTCCCATCTAGCTCTCTGCTGTGGCCTGGGAAAGTAGTAGAGGATGGCCCAAGTCCTTAGGCTCCTGCACCTGTGTGGGAGACCCAGAAGAAGCTCCTGGCTCCTGACTTTGGATTGGCACAGCTCCGGCCATTGCAGCCAACTGGGGAGAGAGCCATCCTATGGAAGACCTTTCTTTCTCTCTCTCTAACTCTCCTCTCTCTGTGTAACTCTGACTTTCGAATAAATAAATAAGTCTTTTTTAAAAAAGGATAGTTAATGGGCTTAAAGGGAAACATAGACTCAAAAACAATAGTAATAGGGGACAGATCAACCAGACAAAAAATCAACAAGAAAACAACAGACTTAATTGACACTATAGACCAAATGGACCTATCAGATATCTACAGAGCTTTCCACCCTACAGCCAAAGAATACACATTTTTCTCACCAGTGCATGGAACTTTTCTCTAGGATTGACCACATGCTAGACCATAAGGCAACTTAAAGCAAATTCAAAAAAAATAAAAATCATACCATGGTTATTCTAGACCACAGTGGAATGAAGTTGGTAATCAACAATTCAGGGATCCCCAGAACATATGCAAACACATTGAGACTGAACAATATGCTCCTGAATGAAAAATGGGTCATCAAAGAAATCAAAAGATTTTTGGAAACAAAGAAAGTTGACAATTCAACATATCAAAATTTATGAGATACAGCAAAAGCAGTGTTAAGAGGAGAGTTTATAGCAATCGGAGCCTACATCAACAAACTGGAATGGCACCAAATAAATGAGCTATCAATGCACCTCAAAGACCTAGAAAAAACAACAGCAAACCAAATCTAGTAGGAGAAAATAAATATTTAAAATTAGAGAAGAAACTAACAAAATCAAAACCAGTAAAATAATACATAAGACACGAGATCAACAAAACGAAGAGCTGGTTTTTTGAAAAAGTAAACAGAATTGACACACCATTGGCCCAACCAACCAAAAAAAGGAGAAGACCTAAATTAATAAAAAGAGATATGAAAAAGGAAATGTAACAGCAGACACCACAGAAATAAAAAGAATCATCAGAAATTGTTATAAAGAACTGCATGCCTACAAAATGGGAAACCTAGAAGAAATGGATAAATTCTTGGGCAGATACAACCTACCTAAATTGAGTCATGAAGACGTAGGAAACTTAGACAGACAAATAACCAAGACAGAACTTGAATCAGTAGTAAAGACCCTCCCAACAAAGAAAAGCCCAGGACCAGATGGCTTCACAACTGAATTCCACCAAACATTTAAAGAACTAACTCCAATTCTTTTCAAGCTATTCAAAGCAATCAAAAGGGAGGGAATCCTCCCAAATTCTTTCTATGAAGCCAGCATCACCTTAATTCCTAAACCTGAAAAATATACAACAGAGAAAGAGAACTAGAAACCAATCTAATGATGAATATAGATGTAAAAATCCTCAACAAAACACTAGACAATCAAACACAACAACACATCAGAGAGATCATCCACCCAGACCAAGTGGGATTTATTTCTGGTACAAAGGGATGGTTCAACATTCACAAATCATTCAATGTGATACATCACGTTAAATTGAAGAACAAAAAGTGGATGATATCTCAACAGATGCAGAGAAAGCATTTGACAAAATACATCCTTGCATGATAAAAACTTTAAGCAAATTGAGTATAGAAGGAACATTTCTCAACACAATCAAGGCAATTTATGACAAACCCACAGGCAGGATCCTATTGGACAGGGAAATGTTGGAAGCATTTCCACTGGAATCTGGAACCAGACAAGGATGCCCACTCTCATCACTGCTTTTCAATATAGTCCTAGAAGTTCTAGCCAGAGCCACTGGACAAGAAAATAAAAATCAAAAGGGTAAAAATTAGGAAAGAGGAAGTCAAACTATCCCTATTTGCAGATGACATGATACTATACACAGGGAATCCAAAAGACTCCACTAAGCAATTATTGGAACTCATAGAAGAGTTTGGAAATGTAGCCAGATACAAAATCAACACACATAAACCAAGAGCCTTTGTATATGTAGACAAGGCTACAGCTGAGAAAGAGCTTCTAATATCAATCCCATTCACAATAGCTACAAAAATAAATCAAATACCTGGGAATAAGTTAAACCAAGGATCCAAGATCTCTACAATGAGAATTACAAAACATTAAAGAAAGAAATAGAGAAAGATACTGCAAATTGGTAAAACTTCCATGCTTATAGATTGGAAGAATCAATATCATCAAAATGTTCTTCTGAAAGCAATTTACAGATTCAATGTAATACAAATCAAAATATGAAAGACAATCTTCTCAGATGTAGAAAAAATGATGTTGAAATTCATATGGAAACACAGGAAACTCTGAATAGCTAAAGCTATCATACAACAAAAACAGATCCCTAGGCATCACAATACCATATTTTAAGATATACTACAGGCTGGCGCAGTGGCTCAATAGGCTAATCCTCTGCCTGCAGCGCTGGCACATCAGGTTCTAGTCCCGGTCGGGGCACCGGATTCTGTCCCAGTTGCCCCTCTTCCAGTCCAGCTCTCTGCTGTGGCCTGGGAGTGCAGTGGAGAATGGCTCAAGTCCTTGGGCCCTGCACCCCATGGGAGACCAGGAGAAGCACCTGGCTCCTGCCTTTGGATCAGCGTGGTGCGCCGGCTGCAGCATGCCGGCCGCAGCGGCCATTGGATGGTGAACCAATGGTAAAAGGAAGACCTTCCTCTCTGTCTCTCTCTCTCTCTCTCACTGTCCACTCTGCCTGTCAAAAAAAAAAAAAAAAAGATATACTACAGGGCAGTTATAATCAAAATAGCCTAGTACTGGTACAAAAAGGGATGGGTAGACAAATGGAACAGAATAGAAACACCTGAAATCAATCCAAGCATCTATAACCAACTTATCTTTGACAAAGGAGCTAAAATCAACTCTTGGAGCAAGGGCAGTCTCTTCAACAAATGGGCTTGGAAAACTGGATCTCCACATGAAGAAGCAGAAACCTTTACCTGACACCTTGCACGAAAATCTACTCAAAATGGATTAAAGACCTAAATCTATAACCTGACACCACCAAATTATTAGAGAACTTGGGGGAAATCCTATAAGACATCAGCATAGACAAAGCACTTTTGGAAAAGACCCCAGAGGCACAGGCAATCAAAGCCAAAATCCGCAAATGAGATTATAGCAAACTGAAAAGTCTGTGTACTTCAAAAGAAACAATCAGCAAAGTGAAGAGACAACCAATGGAATGGTAGGAAATATTTGCAAACTATACAACTGATAAAGGATTAATAACCAAAATATACAAAAAGATCAAGAAACTCAACAACAACAAAACAAACAATCCAGTTAGGAAATGGGCAAAGGACTTAAACAGACATTTTTAAGAAAAGGAAATCCAAATGGCCAACAGACACATAAAAAATGCAAATCAAAATCACAGTGAGGTTTCACTTCACCCCAGTTAGAATGAATTTCATACAGAATTCAATAAACAGCAAATGCTGGTAAGGATGTGGGAAAAAAGGCACACTAATTCACTATTGGTGGGAATGTAAACTGGTACAGCCATTATGGAAGAAAATGCGGAGATACCTCAGAGGTCTGAATATAGACATGACCCAGCCATCCCACTTCTGGGAATCTACCCAAGGGAAATGAAATCAGAATATGGAAGAGTTATCTGTACCTCCATATTTATCACAGCTCAATTCACAATAGCAAAGACATGGAATCAACCCTAATGCCTGTCAACTGAAGGATGGAAAAAGAAATTATGGGATATGAACATCATAGAATAATATACAGCAGTAAAAACCACAAAAAGAAATCTGATCATCACAACAAAATGGATGAAATTGGAAAATATCATACTTAGTGAAATAAGCCAGCCCCAAAGGGACAAATTTTATATGTTTTCCCTGACATGGGATAACTAATAGAGCACCTAAAAGACAACATGTAGAAACAAAATTGACACTTAGAGAAGCAATGATTATGAACAGCTCTCCTCTTGATTGTTGAGGAAAGCTCTTATTCTATATCTTTGTTTATCTTTTCTTTTATCATATTTTTCTTATCTTTTTCTCTTTCATATGATTCATTGAATGCTATACTTAACATAGTTAATCATATACATATAAAGTTAATTGAAAATAAATCTTAGTAAAGAATAAGTGTGAGACTAAGAAAGGGAAGAAGAGGCGGGTGGGAGTGAGGGCAGGAGGGTGGGCACAGTGGGAAGAATCACCAAGATCATAAAGTTGTAATTGTGAAATGTATGAAGTATGCAACTGCAAAGCAGTATAGTCCTACATATATTCATATGGACCTACTTCTAAGGGTACAACCTAACAACTAGCCGTAAGACTCCAAAATCCCTTAAGTTGACTGATAAAAATAGCAGCTTAAGTGTTACAAAGATCAAATGAATAGGAACAAGTGGTAAAGTGATCTTATACATACGATCAAGAGTTAAAGTGATCACATTAATAGAACCAAGTGTTTGGAAACAAAAATAGAATTAAAAAGGAGTGAAGGCTCCATCATGGGAAGCAGTCCATACAGTGACTCATAGAATGACAATCACTTTAAGTTGCACTCTAACCTCAGAATTGGCCCTTAAGGCATTCCAGTCTGCCTGGAAAGCCCAGTGGGAGCATTTCAAGCATGGAAAGCCAAAGCACTCTGGGGAAAAAAAAAAGTCTAACATAAGGGACTCCTGCAGTTGAGAACCCAGTGGAAAGAAGTTGCCACCAAAGAAGGAGGTGCTTTTCTCTGAAGGGAGGAGAGAACTTCCACTTTGCTTATGGCCTTGTTGAGCTACTGGATCCAAAAGGCTTCCATAGCTGAGTCAGCTCATGCCAAGAACCTTTGATGATCAACGATGTCATATATGAGTGTTATTTGTTAAATAAAAAAGAGTCACTGTGCACTAACTTCCCATGCAGAACCTCTGTCCACAAAAAATTGTATCATGAGACTTAATAATAAAACTTTTTCTCAAGAATCACTTCCTTGGGGCTGGTGCTGTGGCATAGTGGGTAAAGCTGCCCACTGCAGTGCCAGCATCCCATATGGGTGCTGGTTCAACTTCTGGCTACTCCACTTCTGATCTATCTCTCTGATATGGCCTGGGAAAGCAGTGGAAGATGGTCTAAGTACTTGAGCCCCTGCACCCGTATGGGAGACCTGAAAGAAGCTACTGGCTCCTGGCTTCGGATAGGTGCAGCTCCAGCCATTGTGGCCAATTGGAGAGTGAACCAGCAACCAGCAGACCTATCTCTCTCTCTTTCTCTCTTCTTTTTCTACCTCAGCCTCTTTATAACTCTGCCTTTCAAATAAAATAAATAAATCTTAAAAATGAATCACTAACCTTTAGTGTATTGTATGAAACATTGAATACTATGTTTCATAAGTATAGTCATGTCTAAGAGCTTACAAAAGATGCATCATCCTTGGGTTATTCTTTAAAGACAATTAAGTTTCAAAAAGGAAAGAAGGGAGAGGAAGTAAGGGAAAAGAAGAAGGGGGAAAAAAGCAAAAACATCTTCAAGAAGCAATAACAAAGAACAGCCCTTCTTTAGACTGTTGAGGAACAATTCTCTTAATTTTTTTTACTCCATTCTTACCCTTCCTTCCTTCCTTCCTTCCTTCCTTCCTTCCTTCCTTCCTTCCTTCCTTCCTTCCTTCCTTCCTCTCTTTCTCTCTTTCTCTCTTTTCTTTTCTTTCTGTTTTTTTTTTTTTTCTTTCCCAGACCAAACACCAGAGGGGAGAGGTGGGGGGGGGAGTGGAGAATCACTGGGAAGACAGGCATGGTGGGAAGAATTACTATGTTCCTAATGTTGTATTTACAATATACAAACAAATAAATAAATAAATCAAAAGAAAGGTAACAGTTCATATCATTGAGATCCATTGAGGTTTTTGGTACAAGTAATATTTATGCTTAGTTCTTTTTTTAAACTTTTAAAATTTATTTTTACTTTTTTAAATTTAACATATAGGGGCCATTGCCGTGGCTCACTTGGTTAATCCTCTGCCTGCAGTGCCAGCATCCCACATGGGTGCTGGGTTCTAGTCCTGGTTGCTCCTTTTCCAGTCCAGCTCTCTGCTGTGGCCCAGAAAGGCAGTGGAGGATGGCCCAAGTGCTTGGACCCTTGCACCCACGTGGGAGACCAGGAAGAAGCTCCTGGCTCCTGGCTTCAGATCTGTGCAGTGCCGGCCATAGCGGCCATTTGGGGAGTGAACCAGCGGACAGAAGACCTTTTTCTCTGTCTCTCTCTCTCTCTCTCTCACTGTCTATAACTCTACCTGTCAAATAAATAAATTTTAAAAAATAAATTTAAGGTATAAAAACTTCATAAAGTTCATAATAGAAATTTAGGAACATAGTAATTTTTTTCCACTCTACCAACCCTTCCACCCTTTTTTCTCTTTCTGCTCCTATTCCCATGCTTATTTTCTACTAAGATATATTTTCAATTAATTTTATACACATAAGATTAACCCTACACTAAAGAAAGAGTTCAACACAAAAACTGTGCCTCAGGAGTTGAGATAAAACTGTTCAAATAATAGAATCTCAAAGTGTCAATTTCACTCCTATAGATTCCCTTTTAGGTACTCTATTAGTTACCATGGATCAGGGAGAACATATGTGTTGCTGTGGATTCATTCTGAGAGGAGAAGCGCAGTGAGGGCAAGAGGCATGGAGTCACCACACAGATGCTGGGAGTTGGGTGAAAGCAGGCTAGAGGTGAGCAGCTTACAGACTTGTTTATTTCAGTTGGTGCAGCAGCTTATATAGCCAAGGCAGCCAATCCAGTCAAGGGGTGGTTTATGACGTAACCAATCACTGCCTGTTGCCAGGCAGGCTCCTTTGCCAGGCGGTTTTCAAAGCCATTTCCTGAGTAACTGACACTCGCTCACCAGTGCCATCTTGGCATGGCCTTCTCATTCCACCACACATATGGTATGTGTCTTTTTCTGAAAGACAAGAATTCTAGTAGAAAAATGGACAGGGAGATCTTCCTTGGCTGAGGAAACATCTATGTATAGGGCCTGAGGGGAGTGGGGAAGGGGATTAAATTAATGAATCTCCAAGTATTAAAAAGAAAAGAACAGGTCATCAAAGAAGGAGGTACCTTTCTCTGAAGGGAGGAGAGAACTTCCACTTTGACTACGACCTTGTCTAAATATGATCAGAGTTGGTGAACTCAAAAGGCTTCCATAGCCTTGGCGACTCATGACAAGAGCCTAGGGTGATTCCTGATGCCATAAACAAGAGTGTCAATTTGTTAAGTCAACAACAGGAGTCACTGTGCACTTACTCTTCATGTAGGATCTTTGTCCTTAGTGTGCTGTACATTGAGATTTAATGCTATAACTAGTACTCAAACAGTATTTTTCACTTTATGTTTCTATGTGGGTGCAAACTGTTGAAATCTTTACTTAATATATGCTAAACTGATCTTCTGTATATAAAGAGAAATGAAAATGAATCTTGATGTGAATGGAAGGGGGGAGGGAGAGGGAAAGGGGAGGGTTGTGGGTGGGAGGGAAGTTATGGGGGGGGAAGCCATTGTAATCCATAAGCTGTACTTTGGAAATTTATATTCATTAAATAAAAGTTAAAAAAAATAAGGTAAATTGTGAAAGTTAAGTGTTAAATAATAATGTAAAACAGAAAAGCAAGGATCAAATCATAAAGAACATTACACATTCCAAAAGTGTCTGGTCTTTATCTTAACAGGTTTTAAGAAGGATAATGACAGGATTGTTATTTTTGAATGACACTCTGACAACATGTGTACAATATAATGGACAGTGTGGGTGCAAAATAAAGCAAAGGAGAACAGTTTGGAAATTAGTTTTGTGATCTGAGCAAGAAATAGCGATGGAAGTAGCACTAATGTAAAAAGTAGGCAGATAGAGTTCATATACCTTGGTACTAGTTCAGTAGTGAAGGTGAAAGAGACAATGGAAAATGAGTCCTAATTTTTAGGTAGGGAAAACAGATGGTTTTAGGAATGATTCATTATTTTACTGAAAAACAAAATGCAAAAATGACAGTGTCTGTCTGCACAGGAAGTCAGTTCTCTCTTGGATATACTATGTTTGGGAATTCCTATTGTACATTCAGGTGCAGATATCCAATAAACTGATCAGGTCATAAAAATGGGATTCATCAGTCTAAACAAGGTAATGAAGTCTTGAGAAAAATGAGATCACGTAGGCTGGTTTTGAGTCAGAGAGTTCAGGATAGAATCCTAGAGAGGACCTACATTTGAGATGTGGAAAAAAAGAAAATTAAATCATGAATGCTGGTGACAGAGAATATACATAGAGTTAGGAATAAACCAAACAGTGGAGGAAATTGGCAAAAAGGGGAAGACAGAACTTCAAAAAGCACTTGGCGTTCGCAGAGAAGTCAGTGCCGGGCGGATCACTGCCTTCAGTGGTATGGCAGTCATTAGTGACCTTGTCAAAAGTGGTTTCATAGGAGTGATTGTTGTCGATGCCAGTTGTGATAAGGTTAATTTACTCAATTGTGCTCATTTGTGTCTTTCAAAGGATTTTCTCATTTAATCAAAGTTGTCATATTTATTAGCAGAAAATTTTGTATAATATTCTCTTCTTATCACTTTAGTCTTTATAGGATCCATGATGTCCCTAATGATCTAATGATGCTTTCTAGATCATTCAGGACGTTGCTAGTTTGTCTCTTTTTCCTTTTTTCTTCTTTTTTTAAAATAATTATTTATTTACTTGAGAATTAGAGGGAGAAAGAAAGAGAGAGAGAGAGAGAGAGAGAGAGAATTCCCGGTTGCTGGTTCACCCACAAATGTTCAAGATGACTTAGGCTGGGCCAGGCCAAAGTTGAAAGCTGGGAATCCCAAACAGGTCTCCTACATGGGTGGCAGAAACCTAATTACTTGAGTCACCACTGCATGTTAGACTCTACATTAGTAGGAAGCTGAAGTCAGGTGTCACAGCTGGGTAGGGAACCCAGGCACTCTGATGTGGGATCTGATGTGGAATACAGGCATCTTAACTGTTAATCTACTGTTAGTCTACTGTTAGTCTAAATGTCTATTCCTCTTCTTTATCTTGGTAGCTATTAGTTTATCAGTTTTGTTGATTTTTTTTCAAAGAAGCAAGATTTGGTTTCACTGGTTCTATTCTTTTTCCATTTTTAATTTCTTATCTTCTTTATTATTTCCCTCCTTTAGCTTATTTTGGGCCTATTTGCTCTTTGTTTTTAGTTTCTTAATATGCAGCTTAAATAATTGATCATGCAGTTTTCATTTTATCCAGTATAAAAATTGAAACTATGAAATTTTCCCCAAACTTTCACTAATGCCATGATTTTGACATGGATCTCACAAAGAAACAAGAATGAAAGAAACTAAATATGTGGGCAAACAAAAAGGCTTTTTTTAAAAAAATTCTTTAAAATATCATTTTTAGGTGTAGGCACTTGGTGCAGCAGACACGATGTTGCTTGGGACACTCACATCCCATGTTTGAGTGCCTGGTTAGAATCCAAGCTCTTCCTCTTATAATTCAGCTTCCTGCTGTTGCACACACTGGGAGGCAACAGGTAATGTGTTCCTGACACCCACATGGGAGATCTAGGTGGAGCTCCTGGTTGCTGGTTTTGGCCTACTCTAGCCCTGGTTGTAGAGGGCATTTCAGGAGTGCACCAATAGATGGAAGATCTCATCTATCTGTTTCTGTCTTTTAAATACAATGAAAATAAATCAATTAATTAGAATTGATTTAATACCACACAATAGTAACATATAGTGGAAATTATGTTGATTTAAGGCTCTTACAAAAGAGAACAAAGTGATCTACCTTATTCCTCTGAGCTTGCAACTTTCCTGGTTTTGGTACTAAAAGTTCTGAATTATGAGAACTGCCCACCTGTGTCCTCACATTTGAGCACACAGTGGTGATTAGTCATTTGAAATGGAAAAGCACTTGCTATAACTTATAATGCAACCACTGAAAAACACCATAGCTGCTAAGTAAACAGTAGAGGCAAAATTGAATACTAAAAAATACTCAATTAATTCATGAAAAGGTAGGAAAATTTGGAGTTACTTTCTTTCTGGTTATTGAGCTGCATTTAACAGTTCCTGTCGTTCATATCTGCTGGCAACCAATATCCTCAGTTTTTTTTTTCTTTTCTGCAAAACAATTCATTTCACTCCTCCTTCTTCAAGGATCTATTCATTGAGTACAGAATTATAGGTTGAGAATATTTTTTAAAAGATTTTATTTATTTGAGAGGTAGAATTACAGACAGAGAAAGGGAGAGACAGACAGAAAGGTCTGGTTCAAATGCTGGTTCATCTCACATGGTCACAAAGGCCAGAGCTGGGCCAATCTAAGCCAGGAGCCAGGAGCTTCTTCCACTGAGAATAGTTGTACATAGTTAGGATGAGCCTCAAAGCTGGATCTGAATGTTTTAATAAGGATGGTTTTAGATCACATATAATATAGGAAGAGAATATTCTATAAAGGAAACATGCTTAAAAATGCTTAGAGTGAAATAGGTTATGGTTAGGAGACTACAGGACATTTGGCAACTGTTACTTAATTCCCAGGCTCCCTGAAGGGTTCTCAGAGAAGGTCCTTACAGATTGAAGTTGGAGTTTAGAGGTACAGGTTCAGCACATGTCCAGGTCTCTGGCTGGTTGAAGGTGCTTGCAGCCTTCCTTTAATTGGTTAGCAATACTACGTTCTTTACGGAAGTTTGATGATGGCAACGTAGGCTTCAGTTAGGTGGTGATTATTTTTTGCTCAGGGCCTGTGGTTCCTAAAAAAGAAACCCCTCAAGACCAGACCCAACATCAAGATGTTACCTGTAGGTGAAACAGATGACTTTTTTTTAATAACACTTTCTGTTTTTATTTATTTTTTTTAACTTTTATTTAATGAATATAAATTTCCAAAGTACAGCTTATGGATTACAATGGCTTCCCCCCCATAACTTCCCTCCCACCCGCAACCCTCCCCTTTCCTGCTCCCTCTCCCCTTCCATTCACATCAAGATTCATTTTCATTTCTCTTTATATACAGATCAGTTTAGCATATATTAAGTAAAGATTTCAACAGTTTGCTCCCACACAGAAACATAAAGTGAAAAATACTGTTTGAGTACTAGTTATAGCATTAAATCTCAATGTACAGCACACTAAGGACAGAGATCCTACATGAGGAGTAAGTGCACAGTGACTCCTGTTGTTGACTTAACAAATTGACACTCTAAACAGATGATTTAAGAGTTCTGTGAACAGGGACCCTCTAGGGGAGGTTGCACCACTCCCTCAATTCAGTGAGTGAATTTTAGAGAAAACTGGGCAACAGAACCTTTAAGCTAAGAGAAGGAGGCTGGATGAACTTGGTAGATGAAGACCTGATGGTTTCTAGCATCTGATTCAGGGCACTGTGTAGCGGCCCTGTATTGAAAGCCACGGAAGTGTTCACAGAAGTGGACCAATGTGTAGGCAATATGTGGAGTGAACTGGGTGAGAGCTTATCAGATCAAAAAGGTTTCATGATCCAAGAAAGAGACACTGGTGGGCTGAACTGGAGTTGTGATGGCAGGAATGGAGAGGAAAAAATGGATTTGAAAAATAATAATAATTTCTCTCACTTCTGAGCATTTACTACATTCCAAGTTCAAAGTATGTTACATAACAGTAATTCATTTATGACCCTCACAGCTACTGATAATGCAGATACTACTGCTAGCCCAATTTATCGATGGGTACTGAATATGGCATAGTTAAGTAGTGGAGATTACATAGCCAATAAGCAGGAAAACCAAGACTCAGTCTCAAACAGCCTGCTTGCAATTCTATATTGTCAGTAACTACATTGTACTGTTTCAAGATAATTACTTGGTCTTATAGTCACCTACTTACATGTCTGACTGCCCTTCTTAAGTGGAAACTCCCAGAAAGCAAAGTCTATACCTTGCTCTTTATAATGTGTCCAGAACATACAGAAAGAAAATGGAGACAAGAGACCTACTGCCCTGAGAGCAGTCAAATAAAGAAAACAACGAAAAGACCATTTCTCAGGTGCTATGATCAAATAAGACAAAGTAAAATCAGGTAAGTCAGTTATTTGGACAGGATATCAGGGAAGTCTTCTCTGAGGATGAAGGAGCAGTAAGCTTGTTACCCAGTGGCTGGGGTGGCCTTGTTCTAGAAAGAGAATGGATGCTTGTCTGGCAAGAATAGTGAGGGAAAAAGGAAAGGGTGTATGATAACATCACAGAAGAATATGAAGCCAAATCCACTCCAAGAACAAGTCTTGTAAGAAATCTGCATTTCATTTCAGCACAATGAAAAGTCAGTGGAGGCTTTAAGGAGGGGATGGAGAAGATAGTAAGATCTGATTTAAATTTGAAAGGAGACACTGGAAAGTGAAAGGGAAGGGAGTGAAAATTAGAGAAGGCAAGCTTAGGATTTGAGGTATGGACAACTCCATAAGGACACAAAGTACTACCTGATGTGTTTGGGAATCACTGGAGTTTGAAGGTAGAAGAAATTTCAGGTCCCCATGCGAGGCTTTGGAGTGAAAAACTTTGAGAATGATCATTGTTGACGGCAAAGAGATGTGCTGATGCTACCCAGAGAGGGCTAGCTTTTTTCCATAAAGACTTAAGAAATGGAAGATTTTGGCATAGAATTGTGATGTGAATGTGAAGAAGATGACAGAGGAGGAAGAATTAAGAAATAGTTGGGCAAATCAGTGACGTACTCGTGTGCAAAAGGTAGAATAAAGCATTACAATGGGTATTAGGAGGATAAAGTATTGTTTCAGTTAAGCTAGGGAACTCAATGAAGTATTTCAGGAAAATGGTGAGTTTATGTGTGCAAACAAGACTAGTGTCTGCTAATACTAACTGATAGAATAAAAAAGGGAGAGAACGATCCAACATGAGAAGCGGGATACACAGCAGACTCATAGAATGGCAGAGGTCCTAAACAGCACTCTGGCCTCATAATCAGCCCTTAAGGCATGCGGATCTGGCTGAAAAACCCATGAGAGTATTTTAGGCATGGAAAGCCAAGACACTCTGGCAAAAAAATAAGAGAACCTAAATGAAAGATTTCTGCGAGTGAGGTCTCAGTAGAAAGAACGGGCCATCAAAGGAGGAGGTACCTTTCTCTGAAGGGAGGAGAGAGCTTCCACTTTGACTATGACCTTGTCTAAATAAGATCGGAGTTGGCAAACTCAAAAGGCTTCCATAGCTTTGGCAACTCATGACAAGAGCCTAGGGAGATTACTGACGCCATAAACAAGAGTGTCAATTTATTAAGTCAACAACAGGAGTCATTGTATACTTACTCCCCATGTAGGATCTCTGCCCTTAATGTGTTGTACTAAGTGAATTAATGGTATAACTAGTACTCAAATAGTACTTTACACTTTGTGTTTCTGTGTGGATGTAATCTGTTGAAACCTTTACTTAGTATATACTAAATTGATCTTCTGTATATAAAAATAACTGAAAATGAATCTAGGTGTGAATGGAATGGGAGAGGGAGCAGGAGATGGGAGGGGTGCATATGGGAGGAAAGTTATTGGTGGGGGGAAGCCATTCTAATTCATAAGATGTACTTTGGAAATTTATATTTACTAAATAAAAGTTAAAAAAAAGAGAAAATGGTGAGTTTAGCAGAACTGCTAATAAGAGAGCAAGTGTTCCACCATCCACATCATTGAAGCATTGAGGAGAAGATGAATAACTTAGATACCTTGGCCCACTTAGAGTCTGTCCTTGCTCTCATAATATCTAGAATAAAGTCAATTTGCAATGAGACCATCTGACAGGTATGGACAGAATAAATAACCCCATCCCATTTGTAAAATCATGATGAAGACTGGGTCTCCCTGTTTGAAGATGGAGAGGGGGGTGAGCACAAGATAAGACATCTTAATTAATTCAAACGGTTTTAATGCAATGTGGGGAGTGAGAGACAGAGAGATACACAAGGAAACAAAGGAAGGATGAAATTAGAGGATGGTGAAACTTGCCAAAAAGAAAGAGGCTAGGCCAGGAACAAGCATAAGATGCTGGATTTCAGTGTACAATACCCTAATACAGCTGGACTTCAGTGAATGAACTGAATGCATTTCCTTGTCCATTATTTTGGTAATCTGGCCAAAAATCATGTGGGTTTGTAAAAAGATAATAGATAACAAGCCAAAAGAATTAGGGCAATTTTCCTTTTTTTCTTTCATAGAATGAAACTTCTATGCATATGAGAAGCAACTGCTCCCACTAGGGAATAAAAGCCTCAGTGAACCCGTTAGCATCTAGGAAGAGCTTTGTCATATGGTTACCAAAGTGAGTCATTCCATTTTCAGTCTGTATGTTCATTCCATATCCACAGACACTGGCCTTAGGGACTGCGTGCATCTGCCGGAACACACAAATACTCTATGTGAATCAGAATTAAAAAGTATAGCAATGTCATCTAATAAGACAATAGGGAATCTCAGCTATTATAGCCCAATAGGAAAGCCTTTCCCAATAATGTTTCAATCACATTCCACAGGAAGTATATTGGGTGCTACTGTTCTATCTAGTGTGTTGGCTCATTGCTTCACAATTGTGGGCACACTGCGGCATTTTGGGGGTGGCCTGTTTCCTTACCCCCTCAGAGAAGAATTAACCCTGAACTCCCAGCCAGACATCCATCAGCTGACCCTCCTGGAGCTGTCATTTTTCCCCAACATGCCTGTTTGCTCCAATCAGACCACCCTGCTTACTATTCTGTGTATATGACTTGCTAATTTTAGTACATATTGCTCTGAATCATAGCATGTCAGAGCTGAAAAGGCTCTTAGAGATTTAGACAAGCTCTCCTCAATTTACACCTGAGGAAACACATTTCATTAGTCCTTCAAACCCTAGCCCAAAACTCACTTCCCACAGATTGCTTTCCCTGTTAAGTTGTAGCAGCTCTGGGAGCCCCTTCTTTAATTCTTTCTTTTTTTAAACTTCTTCAGCTATTATAATTTGTATTTTTCCAAGAAGAAAGCCTTGGATAAGTCAATGTGCCTTTCATGGCCTCCGTTTCCTTTGCTGTGACAAGAAAGGGCTGGATTTGATGATCTCTAAGGCCCTTCTTGAATAAACTTTTATTCTGAAATTCTCTGAAATCTCACTTTTAAAAAAAATAATTGTTCTTGGTCATATATGCAGACAATCCTTATTTTGTCTGGTACCAGGTTAATTCAAACTGGTGTATACTGTCCCTCACTTTGCTACCTTTCATGGTGTCTGAAGTCAAATGTCATTTATGAAAATATGCAAAGTGAAAAATTGGTGCCAGCAGTCATGTGTTTCAACTAACAATACACAGTGCAAGCAAGGGGTGCCTGTATTTTTTTTATTCCTCAGTAGTGATCATCAAATTTTTTTCTGCCTACTTAACTCATTCTCCAGATTCCTGTGAAGAACTAACCTTTCCTTCAGAATAAGCTATAATTCAAGAACATTGTCTTTTCTTGATCAAGGGCAAGTCCATGACCAGAAATAGGCCAGTTAGACATTCTGCCTAAAATTTATCCTTTGAGCCATGACATCACCAGGACTAGAAAGGACTGGAGTCCATGCTCTTGGCAGTGTTGTTTGCTAGTTCTTACTTTCTAGCTCCTATTAGAAGTAGTCTGGTTCTTATACTTTGCAAGAACTGATTCTTTGACATTTCTTCATATTCTGAGAATTACCCTGTATGTTTGTACTAACCCCCTTTTGTTATAGTTATACAGAATCGCTTTGTGTTATAAGCAACAAAACAAGAAAACCGAGCTGATGCAATGTTTCTCATTTGGCTTGAACCAGCTCTCTTTCACTTCCTGTGACCTTCACAGGCCAATAGTATTCACTGATCACTCCTCTGATTTCTGAGTACTTGCTTGGTTCTTAACTGTCACGATCTGACTCTCACGTTTAAACTCCACATTTGAAAGTTATTTATTGCTACATATAAAGGTTTTGTTTTGATGACTACTCAACCTTCCAGACACTTCCTTGCATCATACGGCAGCATGGAAATCCTCGTTCATCCTTGTTCTGTTTATATTGCCCTGTACCAGTTTCCCCACTTGCTAGCAACACTTCCATTCTGCTTCCTAACTTCCCTTCTTCCGTTCGTTCCCTAAATGTAGCATCTCAGTGAAAACCAGTTCCTGGAAGGGGCCAGTGCCATGGTGCACTAGGTTAATCCTCCGCCTGCGACACCAGCATCCCATATGGGTGCCAGTTTCTAGTCCCAGCTGCTCCTCTTCCAGTCCAGCTCTCTGCTGTGGCCCAGGAAGGCAGTGGAGGATGGCCCAAGTGCTTGGACCCTGCACCTGCATGGGAGACCAGGAGGAAGCTCCTGGTTCCTGGATTCTGATCGGTGCAGCTCTGGCCATTGCGGCCATTTGGAGAGTGAACCAACCGAAGGAAGACCCTTCTCTCTCTCTCTCTCTCTCTCTCTGTCTGTAACTCTACCTGTGGAAAAAAAAGTTCCTGGAAAATAGAATTTAAGGTAAGTTTATTTTGGTGCCCAAAAAAATTGAAATCCATAGATAATTTTTTCATGATGCATTTTTTTCCAAGAATTTTTTGAGGACTCCTCACATGTCTAGCCTCCTATTCCTAACACTGTATGTTCTACTGTGGCCTGTGTTTCTCAACCTAGATCTTTTCTCTCCCCACCACAGGGTACATGAGTCTTCAAAGCTAAGGATTCATTGGATGCATCTCCTTAGATTTCAAATGTTACTTGACACTTAGGGAAAAAACATAATATTAGGATGACCATATTTACTCTTAAGACAGTGTCACAAAATGATTCAGAGTATGGGCTCAGAGATCAGACAAGCATGGTTCCAAACTCTAACACTTGGGTACTTAAGTGAACTTGGGAACATTACTGAGCCTGTCTAAGCCGATACCCTCACTTCTGAGTGGGATAATAATGTCTACCTTACATGGCTGGCATAAGAATTTGATAAGAATATGCATGCAAAATGAAATGTGTCCAGTGAAGTTTAATTGCTCTAGATAATTGTTATTTATCTTTATAAATAATGACCAGAACTTTATCTCTAACCCTAGGCATCTTCTCAAGCCCATAAATTACAATGATCTTGTTCTGCTTATTCATTGTACTCTGTTGTTTAAACTGCTGCTACTTCTCCTACAAAAGGTATTGACTTCAGACTTCTTTATTCTTACCAACAGCAGCACTATTCTGTCTGATATTTAGGCATAATCCTGTGACATTTTTATCTAAATCACCACCCCCATCCAATCTTTTTACTGAATGCAGATCTTGCTTCTGTAATGTCTCACTGGAATAACTACCTCCCAACCTTTCTGTTGTTGCTTGTGTTACAGTGGACAAATTTACACTGATATACTATTACAACTCCAAATCTATCATTTACTTTACTTATTTATTTGGTTTTTTGAGAGACAGAGTAGAGAGTGTATTCCCATCTACTTGTTTAATCCCTGAATGCCTAAAATCCTTAGCACTGGGTTTGGCCAAGGCTGAAAACCAGGAACTCAAAACAGGTTTCCCACGTGAGTGGCAGTAGTCCAATTCTTGAGTCATCACAGATTCCCTCCTAGGGTCTTCATTAGCAGGCAGCTAGAACTTGAATCCAGGCACCCTGGCATGGTATGCCAGTGTCTGAATTACTAGGCCAAACACTCATCCCCATAGGTTTTGATGAATGTGTAATGACATGTATTCATAGAGTGTCATATAGAACAGTTTCACTGTCCTAAAAATCCACTATGTCCCATTTATTTATTTCTTCATCTTTGCTAACCCCTGGCAATCACTAATCTTTCTAGTGTCTTTATAGATTGCTTTTTTCAGAATGTCATACCATAAGTAACCTTTTCAAACCAGCTGCTTCTACTTAGCAATATGCATTAACGTGTCCTTCAGGCTTCAAAGCCCCTTTCTTTTTAGCATTGAATAATCCTCCATTGTCTGGATGTAACACAGTCAATGCATCTATTCACCAATATATTGAAGGACATCTTGGGTGCTTCTAAAGTTTACTAATTATGAATAAAACTGCTACAATCATCTGTGTTCAGATTTCTGTGTGGACACAGTTTGTAAGTTATTTGAGTAAATACCAAGGAGTGTGATTATGGATCATATGGTAAGGGTGTATTTACTTTTGTAGGAAACTGCCAAACTGTCTTCCAAAGTAACTACAGCCATTTCTTATTCCTACTAGAAATGACCGAGAGTTTCTAGTGTTCCACACACTTTGGTGTTGTCACTGCTTTGGATTTTTATTATTCTAATAGGGTGCCCTGGTGTCTCATGTCAACTTGCAAAGCCCTAATGACACACAAAATTGAGGATATCTTCAAAGGCATATTTGCCATCTACCTCTTCTTTGCTCAGGTGTTTGTTCAGATCTTTTAACCATTTTTAACTAGATTGTTTGAGAGTTCTTGGTATATTTTGGATAATAGTCTTTTATTAGATGGATTCCCTGAAAATATTTTTTCCTAATTTATGGCTTGTCTTCTCATTCTCTTAACATTGTTTTCCACAGAGCAGAAGTTTTTAATTTTAATGAAGTATACTTTATTTCTCCTCGGACTGTGCCTTCAGAGCTCTGTCTCAAAAGTTATGCCCATTGTTATCTAGATTTTCCCACATGTTATCTTTAAGAAGATTAGTATTCAACATTTTACATTTAGGTCTATGACTTATTTTTTTTAAAAAAGATTTACTTATTAATTGAAAAGGAGAGAGAGAGAAATCTTCCATCCACTGGTTTAATCCCAAATGCCTATAACAGCCAGGAATAGGCCAAGCTGAAGCCAGGAGTCAGGAACTCATCAGGATCTTCCAAATGGGTGGCAGCAGACCAGGTACTTGGGCCACCATTCACTACCTCCACAGGCATTAGCCAGAAGCTGCACCAGGGCAGCCGGGCCTCAAACCAGGCACTCTGAAATAGGATGCAGGTGTCCCAAGTGCTGGCTTCACCTGCTGTGCCACAATGCCATGTGGCCCGTGTTTCATTTTAAGTGATTTGTCTATGCCATATATACGCTCTATGTCTATATTTGTTTCTTATGAGGGTCTATGTTGAGCTGATTAAGCACCATTTGTTAAAAAGGCTTGATTTTAATTCCACAGACTTATTTGAGACTTCTGTCCTCTGGGACAAAATTAACTTCCTTTGTTTTAATGCACTAAGTTCATGATATTTGTTATAGTATCAAGAACAAACTAATGAAATTATATTTATCAGTTTGGGTTTTTGAGAGGATCAAATGAGAAAAACGATCATATAAAGTACCTACCACAGTAAGTTTACCACATTCCGAAAATTAAAAAAAAAAAAAACAAAAACTAAGCAGAGCGGCAAATGGATTGAAGGGCCTTAAAGACATGTTTATTGTATGCTCCAAACAATAAAAAATGAAGGTGGTAGAGATCTTCCATCTGCTGGCTCATTTCCCAAGTGCCTGCAATAGCTCGGAATAGGGTAGGCTGACATCAGGAGCCTAGAAAGCAATCTGGGTCTCCCAAGTGGAGCACGGAGACCAAAGTACTTGAGCCATCACCAAATGCCTCTGAGGGTAGACATAAGCAAGAAGCTGGACTGTCAAACTGAACTGGGACTCCAACCCAAGGACTCTGATACAGCATGTGGGCATCCCAAGTGGCAGCCAGAAACTCACCCTTGATTATTTTTTAATTCACCAATTATTACCTTAACAGAAACACTCATGGCACCACTTGTAGCTCTGTGCTCTGACTTCAGAGTGGCCTAAAGTCTAGCATAATGGCTGTAACCTCTCAACTTTCCAAAGAAGTGTATGCCACAGGGCTCCTCTCTAGAAGAGAGGTCAGAAACCAAAGGCCTGTTTCATAAAACGATGCACTTTCTAGAAGCATCTAGCAAAAGTAGTGTTCTGCCTTGTCCCTGAATTATTACAGCAGTTGATGCAAGTGTCTAGTGATGTCTGGTGGGTGTCCATCCCTTATGTGGGACAGCTAGGAAGAAAACCGCACTCGAAAGAAAAAAGTCGTGGAGCAGTTGTGTTTGTCTGGGTCCACAGTTTATATGATTGATATTGGATACAGATCCTTTCTCTTTTGATACAATCACACTGACCAATTTTCTCTAATCTCAATTCTGTGCATACCTGCATATTACAGTGTTTTCTAGAAGACTCATTATCTTCATCACTGAATATTTATTGAGAGCCCACTGGGCACAGAGAACCGTATCAAGCATGTGATCAAGAGAGAGCCTATTTCCAGCCAAGTCCTTTTGTTTCCATCCTGTTCTGGGAGTAATAACATACCTAAGGAAAGTGGAATTCTACACATAATCAAACTTATTATCTGATGTGATCATTATTTTGATTGCTACTTATGATTTATAATAGAGGTCATTATTTTATTACATACTTTCTGTATATAATTAAGTTACTTTAAATGAAGACTTTCATTCAGCTCAAGTTAGTAAGAATAATGTATTTCTGATTTTCTCATCATAAACTGAAAAGAAATCGAGCCACAAAAAAGATATTATACTACTGAAACGTCTTTTTTTAAAAAAATTTAGCATGCATTGTATATATAAATGGGAAGATTGATGGTATTTAGTATGAGATAAATTTCATTGTTTCAAAAAATTATCAGAAATATGTCAAGGAAACTAAGTTCTTAGCATCCTATTGTGGAGCTTGAATTCTCTGATCATATTACAAGTTTTAAGTTTCAACAGGTAAAAAAGATCACTTGATTATGGCTACATGTATATTTTGTGAGACAAAAGGGCCAAATTGATAAAGAAAAAAAGAAAAATCAGTGCCTTTCAAAGCAGAATTTCGTGTTTTTCGTTGTTAGCGAGTTGGTTTATGTGTCAGGCAAACTTTGATCTTAAAATATCTTTCAGAGGCATGATTTCCTCCAGAGACAATTTTCTGCCTTGATATCCTCATAAGCGAAACAAGAATAAATATTTTGTTCCATAAAATATTCCTCCCGTGACTATTCATATCTCTCAAACTTGTCTTTGTAGAAAAGAAGTTGTGGCTGATTTTTTGGAGATGTTTTTAGCTTTTTTAAAAAGCTTCTCTCTTCCTTAAACATGATTCATTTTCTAATAACCTAAAACTTGGGAGAGGGGGAATATTCCCATAGCACATCGTCTTAATTTAATATCCAATGTCGATAGAAATTTCTTCTTGAGTTCAATCCCTGTGTTTCTCTGCTGTCTTCTGTAGTCTTGCCCTCCCTCTCTCCATGTGCCCTCCCTCCCCTTCTTCCTTTTTAATTTGGTACCTGGGTCATGTGCGTACATTGGGAAAATGTCAGCAGTCGCACACTGTTCCTTCTGACTGTGACCTGACAAGTGGAGGTGCCTCAGCCTTCTCTCCCAGCCACTTAGCATCCAAGCCATTTTGGTACATTCTGTGCACCCTCCAGACAACTCATCTTCCTTATTGTGCCAGAATCTTCTTGGAAACCAAGCCGGATGAATTAGTCAAAAGCACATTCTCTCAGATCAGCAAAGAATAGTAACCTGGACTATGTTTGAGATACATTTAAACTGAATTTAAGATGAGAAGGTCTGAATGTGTTTCCCTTTTTGGTAGAGGGGAGTCAACTTACTTTTCTAATGGCTCTTATTTTTGTTATCAGAATCTCTGAATTAGCAGAGTCCTAATGAATTTGGCCATCAATATAAATTTGGTTATTTTTCCATCCTTAGATCTTTCTTAACTCTTGCATGGTGGTTAAAAGACATCTTGACTAACAGGCAGATAACTGGGTTTGGTAAGATCACTTTAACTTATCCACCCCAACAAGTCCAGGTCATCTTCTGGTTGGGGAGAATTCCACTGCAAGAGTCCATCTACAACCACTCACTCTGATTTCATCAAAGAATTTGTCTCCTACAGTTTGCCCCAAAGAGAGGCAACCAACACTACCACTACTAAAAAGCATTTATTTATAAGAACAGGTTCAGGGCGGGCACCACGGCTCAATAGGCTAATCCTCCACCTTGCAGCGCTGGCACACCAGGTTCCAGTCCCGGTCGGGGCGCCGGATTCTGTCCCGGTTGCCCCTCTTCCAGGCCAGCTCTCTGCTGTGGCCAGGGAGTGCAGTGGAGGATGGCCCAAGTGCTTGGGCCCTGCACCCCATGGGAGACCAGGAGAAGCACCTTGCTCCTGCCTTTGGATCAGCGTGGTGCGCCAGCGGCAGCACACCAGCTGTGGCGGCCATTGGAGGGTGAACCAATGGCAAAGGAAGACCTTTCTCTCTGTCTTTCTCTCTCACTGTCCACTCTGCCTCTCAAAAAAAAAAAAAAAAAAAGTTCATTACATAAAGGAAAATTCACACTATTTCTTTACAGGTTCTACATGCTAACCGTAATGGGAATTTTCACCTATTTTATGGTCATATTTAGATGTAGTGTGATTTGTCTCCCAGGAAGTCCCTGACTTGTGATTTTAGGACTCAGTGGTAACCTGAGGAAGTGCATAAACAATGGTCACCAAACTTTGCTCTCTCTTCACCTTCCTTGCATCCTCCACCATTCACTCTGTGAATGGATCAGTGAAATGGGCTGTTAGGCAAGTTGGAGGGTCAGATCCAAACTATTACTTTTTCTTATGCATATCTATACAGAGAAGGTATTACTGTCCTGAATTTATCTTACCCCAACATCCAAGCCCTAATTCTACCTACAAAAGATCTCAGAGAATTTCTACTCATGCAACTGGAAAAGAGATATTGACTGTTTCTCTTTTTTCGAGTTAAAATCTGCTCATTAGAGAAATGAACACACTATTTTAACTCTGGTGCTGACGTCCAGATGAAGCAGTCTATAAGCTGTATCTGACAGGTTGGTAGTTTTTACATATGCTTAGGCTTTATTTTTAAGCCAAATATTTAGAATTTCCTGAAGAAGATATACAGTAAGTTCTAGTTGATTTCCCACAGACAGACACACAGACACACACACAAAGACCTATTCTATTCCTGTTGTCCTGTGATATGTTAATACCAGCACTCCATCAGTGTCTATGCACACAGATTCCATGGGAAAACATGTTCCTATAGACCTGGAATACATTTCTCTTCCTTTTGTTATTAGAACACGGTAAGAACAGTTCAGCACTTTTAAAGTACTGTGGCTTGTTGGGAATGAACAGTGACCCAGGCTGGGCTTTGTTCTCCCAGAATATTGGGTTGTGAGTCAAGAGCCTTAGATTGAAATTTGGGAATGACTTCACTTTAGTGCCAATAACCAAGAGGCAACGTTCAAGAACTTCTGGTTCAGGTTCCACAGATCCTGTTCTTAAAGCTCTCAAGATTTATTGTTAATCTCTTGCTTGAATTCAATAAGATACTCTAGATCTTTCTATTAGATCTTCCTGCCATCTGTTTTCTTAGATAACTAGCCGCAGTTGGTTTCTGAAGCTTGCAAAAAAAAAAAAAAAAAAAAAAAAAAAAAAAAAAAAGAAAAGACAAGAAAAAAACACTTTTTTGACTATATAACTAGTAGTCATTGTGAAGGAAATGAAGTTAAGATAGATATATAAGAATCTAGAATAAACACTGAAAACAATGAGGTTTTCCTAAGTCACTCTAAAGCAAGACATTTTAACAGGCAAGGCAAAAATGTGTGCCTTTCTTGTTGCCAGTGTGTGGCAAAATAAATGTGGACTAATTAACCAATGATTTTATTTCTCTAACCTGAATGCACTAGTTAGTACAGTGAAAAAAGCAGAAATAGGTAGCCAAAAGTTTTAAGATTCTAATTTTAAAAAAGAAAGGCTAAAAGTAGGTGGATCATTAACATAAAGAGTAACTCCATAAAAATGGATCTTTCTCTACTTAGCAAAACACAAGCCCTCCCCTCTACCTGTGTAATGTTTCCTGTGGGTTTTAAATATATATTATATATATATATACACACATATATTATGATTCTTAGAATGACATTTCTACAATTTGAATTTATTAATTTTCATCTACTTGAAAGGCACAATAAAACAGAGCAAGCGAGTGAGTGAGAGAGAGAGAGAGAGAAATCATCTTCCATTCCCTGTTTCATACTCTAAAAGCCCACAATAGCCAGGGCCGGGCCAGACCAGACCAAGGTAAGGACTTCATACTTCACCTGGCAGGGACCCAAGCAATTGAGGCATCATCTGCTGCCTCCCAAGATGCATTAAAAGAAAGTCAACTTGGAGTAGAAGACCCAGGACTCATGCAAGAATCCCATGTAACTGCCTATGCCCCAAAGTCCAGTCCCTTACCCTGTTTTAATGTGCACATATCACAGTGACTTCTGAAGGTAGCAGCTTGCTTGGAGCCTTTAGGAAATAGGACATTAACTGCAACTTTTGCGAACGATATGGATCTGAGTTGGCTTTTGGAACTTGACTGTTTATCTGGGAGGTATGGGTCACTTAATGGAAGATTCTGACTTGGGATGCTAGTTACTATAAAAGGCAAAATTGTATCATGATGAGAGCTGGAAAAACTCCTGTGGAAGCAACCTTTAAATCGTTCTTGCCAATGAAATGAGAAGCTCTCTTTGGAGGATGCTTGGATATAAAACACTCATCAGACCCAAGGAACTCTAGGACTTTGTACATGGGACTGTGTTGGCAGAGCCTTAACTTGGCTTTGCTCCTGTTGCATTGTTTGAAAAGTGCAGAGGGTTCTTTTATGCAGAAGTAGGAAAAGAACAAAAATGTGTTTTAATTTATTTTTATGATAAATATGACTAAATCAAAATTTAAAGCTATGTATTTTTATTTTCAGTTTGATGCTCTTAATGCAAGACGAAGCCATTTAATAAGAGATTGAAATGAGCATTTGTTAACAATGAAGTCATTATTTTAATGAAACCTGATCAACTTTCCTGAATAATTTGGGATTTTTTTTAAACAACATATTTCAAGGCAGAAAAAAAAGGAAAAGACCATACGTTTGGCAGAAATGAAAAATGGTTACTATGGCAGCTTGATTTGGACATGGAAAACCTGTTTCAAGCTATTCATAAACCCAACTCTTGCAAACTATTTATTATGTACAATAAATTATATGAAACATGTAATGAAAAAATGAGAGTGACTTGTTTTAGAACCCCGAGAGTTAATGAAAACTGTTTGAGGAAGGAGGACTAAGATGTGGCTCCTGGTGTTCCCTGCTGAACTTGCTTAATGAATTTGCAGCCATTCCAAGAGGACGGCCCCCACTCTCTACTAGCTCAGTACAAATGTCTCAATCTGGAGTTTGCCCCAACCGCATGAACTGCACCATTTTGCTGAATTCAAACACGATGTGGTTAGCCTCTATTCTTCATGCGGGAGTGGACATCTCTTGTTACACACCCAAGATGAGACAGTGATGGAGATGGGAAGCAATGTATTTCCAACTCTTATGCTTAAAGTTACTTCTTCTGTATGAGTGCTTTAAAAACACATTAGGAATACATATATGTGTGTATGCATATGTGTGTGCTTCTTTGGTCCTATTTTATTTTGAATTACCACATAATAATTGTTCAAATATATGGGGACAAAGTTATGTTACATATATGTTGTATAAGGATCAGAGGGATATATTTTCAGTGGGACATGTATGCTTCTGAGAGTCCAGAGAAGTTTGCAATTCTATGACAAAAATATGTATTTTTGCATGTACTTGGCAAAAGATAAAAGTTAGATTTCCAATTATGAAGACATATATCTAATCGGTAATATAAAATGTATGTTTTCTCAACAATCATTAGATGCAATATTCAATCAGATGTTCAACAATTTTATATAAATAGTACACACCATGCCATGGAAACTTTAAGATGGGGGAATAGATTTGGATGGCAATTAGGGTAAGTGATGTGATGTGTATTGTTGTATTGATTTCAAAACACAAAGTTCTCTGGTTTGTTAAGTTGGAAAAGAAGTGAGGAACAGGTAGGCAGAGAAGTATTAAGGTCTGCTGAGCAGGACAATGTGTGCTGATGAAGGAGTGCTTAGCACATGTTAAAGTATTATCCTATAAAAAGACACTGAAGAATTAAACCTGTGTGCACCAAGCTATTCAAAAAATGTGGGTGGCAAGAGAATGAGAATAAAATCCTACAGTTACTGAATCTGTGAAGTAGTCAAAATAAACTCTCTCTTTCTAAGCAAGATTAAACAGAGCTCTCTCCCTGGAGCCAGACTGCCTGGGTTGAAATGCCAGCTCTGCATCTACAAATGGTGCCATTCTCCATTTCTGCACAGGAAAAGAGGTGTGGATAGTGCCCTACTCAGCTGATAGGATTTTCAGGACAACTAAGTAGGTTTAAATTTCTAAAGCATTTAGAATCACAAAGTAAGCACTTTTTCAGTGGTTACTAAACAAAAATAAAAAATAAAATTGTTTCCCTAATTTCTCCAATGTCTTAAAATAGCTTGAATCAGGAAAATTTTAGAATGAACTTCCTTATGGCACCTTTTATTCTAATTTGATTGTCAACAGCCGAATGGAGATCTAATTAATATACAATAAACTATGGAGTATATATTTAAAATGAAAATGTGATGCATTTTGCCGTATATGTACACCAGTGAGACCATCACCACAGTCATGATAACAGACAGATTCACACCCTTAAACCCTTAAAATTTTCCTACTGCCCTATTGTAATCCCCTGTGTCCATTTCTGTTCCCCACATCCCACCCCTAGGCAATTTTCTTCATTATACACTAATTTTCACTGTCTACGATTTCATATAAATGAAATTACACAATCCGTATTCTTTTGGCTGGAGTGTCTGACTTGTCTCATGAAGCATAATTATGTTGAGATTTTGCATGATTTTTGCATGCATTACTTAGCTTACTCTTTTTGGTTGCTGAGTGGTAGTCCTCAATAATACCACTTGTATGTTTATACCAGTTTGTCATTTTCATTCACCCATTGACAGACTTGTGGGTTGTTTCCAGTTTGGGGCTATTACAAATAAAACCATGGTGAATGTTTATTACATATAAATTGAATATAACAAAGGTTTTCATCTTTCTTGGTAGATACATAAGAGATGAATGGTTGGGTCATCTATCAGTGTGCTTAACTTTTTAAGAAACTCTCTAACATCTCCCAAGTGATTATAGCATTAGCTATTGCCACCATCAATGTTCCATTTTCTCACTTGGTAGGTTAATGTTTTAATATTAGACAATCTATAATGTGTTTAGAGATTTACAAATTGGTATTAATTTGAATTACTCTAATTATAAAAATGTTAAGCATATCTTCCTGTTTGTTTGCTATCTTCAGTAAGCTATCTGTCCAAATGTTTTTTGCACATATTTCATTGGATTTTGTGTTTCTCTATTACTAAATTTCAGTATTTCCCAGTTTGTATCATATTTTATTATCTTAACATTCTTTCAGATAGCAAAAGTTTTACTTATATAATTGATTATTTATTCTTCTATAGACTTTTTATTTAAGAAGATAAGAAAAACTTTGCCTAACATAGAAGACAAAGATTTTCTCCTATGATTTTTTTTTTCTAGAACTTTCATTACTTTGAGTTTTAGATTTAAACGCATGCCCAATTTTGTAGTTACTGCTTCAGTAATGTGGGTGATGGAGTAAAGTTTAGTTTGGGACTTTTGGATATATAATTATTTCAATTCTATTTATTGAAAAGATAATTTCTTCATCGAATTACCTTTGTGATTTTTATAAAAAAATGACACATTTGTGTGGGTCTAATTTCTAAATGCTCTAGTCTGTCCCATTGGTAGATTTATCCTTGAAAGAACACCACACTGTCCTGTTACTTCTAATAATGTCTTGAACTTTATAATAAGTCTTGAAATTGGTAGTATAAGTTCTACTATTTTATTCTTATTCAAAGTTGTTCAGTCTTTTATAGGTTTATTACATTGCTCTATGAATTTTAGAATCAGCTTTAGAACCTCAATGATAAAAAATAACCTTTGAATTCTAATTAGGATAGTATGATATCTCTAGATATATTTGAGGATAATTGTCATCTTTTTAAAAAACATTTATTTTATTTATTTGAAAGACAGAGTTACAGAGAGAGGTAGAGACAAGGAGAGAGGTATTCCATCCACTGGTTCACTCCCCAAACGGCTGCAAAGGCCGGAGCTGAGCCAATCCAAAGCCAGGAGGCTCCTCTGGGTGTCCCACGTGGGTGCAGGGGCCCAAGGACTTGGACCATCCTCTGCTGCTTTCCCAGGCCATAGCAAAGAGCTAGATCAGAAGAGGAGCAGATGAGACTCGAACCCGCGCCCATACGGGATGTTGGAGCTGCAGGCCAGGGCTTTAACCTGCTACACCACAGCACCAGCTCCAATTATGGACATCTTAACAATACTGTATATTCTGTGAATTCTTATAACTACTTTTTCATTTATTTACATCTTTTTCAGCAATG